GGAGTAGTTGTTAACATTGCAGATTGCTTGGCATTCCTCCCTTCAAAAGGTGGAAAACGTCTTAGTTACTTTTCTCTTGTTGCTGAGACAAAATATCTGATGTCCAAAATAAAGGAAGGAAAGGTTTATTTAGCTCACAGCTGGTGGAGGTTTCAATCCATAATCAGCTGGTTCCAAGGCAGAGTGGTGTGGTAGAAGGGCAAGAGTTCATGTCAGAGGAAGACAGCAAAAGTAGCAAGAGCAAAAGGAGGGGAGCAAGCCTCTTTTCCTCCTTTATAGCATAAGCAGGCCTACCTACCCTAGGGCAGGTGTAGCACTCACACCATCTCTGTACCCTCCTCTTGCACAGGCTGAGGACCTTTACAAAGTGAGGACTCTGGCCCCCTGATGGGTCACTTAGTTACACTTCTAAACTTCTCAATTCAATACAAGGAATCAACCATAACAACATCCTAGGGCTTACACAGCCACCCTAGGGTATGTCCTCTACACCCTAAGATATAGAACTGCTCCTGAGTTACTTAGTTAAACCTCTAAACTTCTTAAACTGACACAGTGTATCAACCATTACACCGTTCCCCTCCCTTTTCCGGCAGCTCCCCTCAGAGACCCTCTTCCAGGGGGAGGGTGGGACTAAATGATGCCCACACTAGGCCACAGGAAAACAGAATCTGTTTGTCCCTTCAGACTGTGTGCCTTGGGAATCATCACGTGGAAAAGCCACACGGAGACAGAGGCACCTGAGCACACCAGCCATTCGGTGTGGCTGTTGGCATTTTTGCAGCTGAGGCATGGTCTCAGCAAGTCTTCACAGGATGGAACCCCCAACACCCTCTGCTTGACCAAGCTGCAGTGCTTCCCAGAGCTGGATCTCACTGCTGACCACAGGCAGGAAAGATGCTGTCGCAGCTCTCTGTGCCCAAGTCCCTGTGCGAAGTGGGTGTTATGCCACAAGTGTAACAGTGGGATGTGTGGCACTGCCCTTTGTCCTGGAAGCCAGGACCCACGGAGCCCCGTTTGACACTGTGCTGGCTCTCACGGTGCTCAGAGATGCTCTTTCCTCCTTCTCGCATCCCTGGTTTCTCTCTGGTTTTTAACTTCATTATTCTTGTATCCTGCTTTGTAGGCCACTCAAATCCTTCCAGAAAATAAAAGGAGGTGTAAATAAACAATGATTTTCTGTTTCGCATTCATTTGCCTCAACATGCTCAAGGCTCAGTTTATTTTCTTTCATTCTTTTATGTTGTCTCAGAACAAATAAATATCTTATTTCTTCTTCCTTCATGAGTATCTCTAGTCTCTTGTCACTTGTCTTCTTAGCATCTGATTTTAAATATGTACAAAGCTCTTCTGTCTCAAAAAAAACCTTTTACTCTCTCAGGGATACCATGTTTGTTATTTTCTGTTCACCCTCAGTCTTCTGGCAAATGTTTCTTGTCCCTTTTATTCAGGTTCAAACAGAATTTCCCCTTGTACCTCCGGTTATAAAATTCAGCGCCCCTCCAGAACCAGCAAGTGGGACCTGCTGAGTTTTAATTCACTGTGGGTCACAGAGGGCTGTGTTCCCAGGTCAGCACACAAGAGCACCTCCTCTTTACCTCACCAACCCCTAAAGGCCACTTTTGCTCATCTATGCTTTAAAAATTTATGAACACACGCTTTTCCAACCTTGCTAATCACATCACAGGAGTGGTTTCACCATCCGGTGCAGGGTATATCTCCGATAAACAAAAGCTTGGTGGGTGACAGCAAAACCAATACTTCTCTGTGAATGACAAGGCAGTGACCCCTGCTCTGACACTGTCCTAACGTTCTGTAAACCAAAGTCTCTCTGTGCTCTCCGGCGACGTCTCTTCCCAGGGTCGATGCACAATGACCACGGTGTTGGCTGAAGACAGGGGCTGCTACTGGGTGGAAGACGAGGATATGACCTGTATCACACTCAACGAGTGTCAGAAGTGTGTTTCACACCACCGGTGCAAACAGCCTCGATCCATTTTACAGAGAATGTCAGACCACATCATCTGCCACTGAGAGGTGTCCTTGAGCCCTTGTTTTGAGAAGCTGATTATTTATTCCAAAACTCTGTTTTTGGTATGGCCAGTTTTCCTCTTAAGGTCATGTGCTGGTTGCTCTTTTCTCTCAAGACAACACTAAAATCCATGTCCGCCGAGGAGCTGACTCCTGATCTCACCTTTTCCGTCTCACCCCCCTCTCCCACTCCCAACCACAAATGAGCCAACCAACCCTGTTTCTGCCAAACAGAACCACTGCACCTCCTCCTGCCTTTAGAGCAGCTGAAAGAAAGCACCTGAGCCTGTCCATGGGACAGGCTGTGCATGGCTAAAGCTGGAAAGACACAGCTTGGCTCACCCCATGAGGAGAACCTGCTTTGTCCTCGCTGGCCCAGTCACCCCTCCCGGGGGCTCCTAGACCCAGAGTCCTCTAGAGAACGGAACAGCCCTCGCTGGGCCACTCCAGTACTCGTGACCCAGGTGTGTAGTCACTGGAGGCAATGAACACTCACTTTAGATGTCCTCATGCCTGGTTATTTGTTCAGTTAGCTGTGGGTCTTCCTTGACCTGACAGGTCTTGAGTCGTTTTCTCAGGATTACAGCCCTGTTACGAGCATGCTCACTGTGGACCGCTCTGCTCCCTGAGGCTTCCTAGGCATGAGTCTAATTAAGTTCTGGAAATCACCTTCCTTCTGGGCCAGTATGTGCTAAAATCTGTGGCACAGTCTTTGTTCCAGAAACTTCCATCTGCTGATGTTATGGTTTGTGTCTAGATGTCCCCCTCCAAGCCTCATGTGCTCGTAGGTGAGGCTTTTCAGAGGTGACTGGATCTAAGGTGTGTGATGCTGGGATCCTGAGTTATCCACTGATTGGTTTGACATAGTTCTGGATATCCCACCTGGGATATAAGTGTAAAGGCGGGTAGCACAAGGGATGGAAAGAAGGTCGTTGCTGCTCACTTGCTGTTTTTGCTGTCTTCTGCCTGCCGTGGACTGTTGCTCCTCTGTGATGCCCCTCGGCCGTGCTACCCAGCTTTAGAGCCAGCTGACTATGAACTGAAACCTCTACAGACTGTGGGCCAAATAAATCTTCTCTCCTTTAACTTTGGGTGTTGAGTATTTTGTTTCAGCAATGAGAAAAGTAACTAAGACAACTGATTATGAAATACACAGTTACTTAGACAGCCGAGAAGAATTCACAGCAACCGTGAAATCCAGACACACCTGGGTCATTCACCTCATCCCACAGCCTCCGTCATTACTCTGCTCTCAGACGAAGCATTTGGGGCATGGGAAATAACTGTCTTTGGTCTCTGCTGTCCTAATAGTTTCAAGGTATCAAATGTTCACTTTTTTGTTAAAACCCAGAATTCTGTCATTTAAAAAATACATTGACTTGTCTGTTCCTATTTTTCTTTCAATGTAGGCACTTACGAAACATGAGTGAAAAATGGATTAGACTTTGAAATCTGGTACTACACAAATAGCTTAAGTGTTGCTTCTCACCTAAACTATGATACCATTGCGCTCGTGGGGTGAGGCCATCAGCAAGAATCTGCCATTGTGTTTTAAACTGCGTCACACCAATTTCTGTAAAAGTCAGTATAAGGATCTCCAGCCTCAGTAACAGAAAGAACACACATGCACACTTACATACTCACACACTCATGCTCACAAACACACACACACACACACACACACACACACACACACACACACGTGATTGCTTATCTCTTTGATTTTCACTTCTGTACTCAGGTGCTTCTCCCAATCTCATCTATGGAATCACTAGGTGTTGGGTTCATGTGGTGAACAGGAAGTCACTGGCATGTTCTGAGTATCCCTGAGACCGTGTGTTTGTGTGGAAGGACACAGGGACCCCTGAAGCTGGCATCTGAGCCTCCTTTGGTTAGGACAAAATGCAGAACTTTAAAGAAAGCCCTTAACTTCCTTGACATCTGTTCACCTACCCAAAGCAGTGTACTGCACATCACAAAGCCTAAAATTCCTGTATTCTGTAGCCGAATGACATGAAATCTAAAGTCCTGGCCTTGCTCCAAGGGACTGATCAGGACAATTTTTTAAGCTCTTCAAGTCCCTGCTATTATCAGCTTTGGATCACACTTTCATATCAGGTCCTCTCGGTTATAACTCAGTAGAAAGCATATGTGAAAGTCCACAGCCAGTGCTAATGCTTCTTATCCATTGCTCATTTTAGTTCTGGTTACAAACCAGAGAGCTCCCCTCCTGAGGTTTCAGCAGATCGTTTCTGTCCACATACTGTGAGCACCAAGGACACCTGAAGTGCCCTTGTCATCCCTGAGGGAAGGGCCCTGTCACTGGCGTGGCTCAGTTTTGCAGGCTTGGATTGGAGCTCTCGATCATTCTGCCTCAGCAGGATGTGCTGATCCTCCCGGAGTGCTGAGGTTACAGTCATGCAGTACCATGCCTGGCTTCTTAGAGCAAATGTTTAGCAGCATTAACTGTATAAGTTTTAGAGGTGGTAAGTTCTACTTTTTCTTTTATTTTAAACATTGTTAAGTCCCTGTAACTACTGTGTTCTTCACATTTGTTGCTGCTATTCCCCTGCAGCGTCCTGCCTGTCACAGTCGCTCTGTGTTAGCACGCACTGTTGTGCTCCACCCACGCCATCGCCTCTGCCCCGGGAGGCCTCTCCTCCCCTGGTACGGGCAGCAGGCTGCTGCAGGCCGGGCTGTTCCTTCCTGTCATTCCTGGATACCATGCTCTCCTCTTTGAGGTCCATTCCTTGTCCTGCAGAAGAGTTTCCATGGTCTCCTCCAAAGCATGGAGGGAGCGTTAATGTTTTGCTCTTGTGTGCAGGAGGAGACATCTTGTCCTTGTTTGCCTTCTAACCGGGAGCCCTGGGTTCCAGGGCATAGAGGATGAGGGCGTCTCCCTTGGCAGGTGGCCTTTGGGTTTCTCTCTGCAAGTTTTGGGAATCTACTTACGATACTGCTCTTGGCACTCTATGACTTTATAATAACAACATGCCTCGGTATGTTTATTTTTCATTTTTGCTTAAGGATATTTTTCATTTGTTTTATTCTTAATGATATTAATCAGCAAAATAAAAATCAGTGACCTTACGTTCGTTCTCCTCCTTTAGGTCTACGAAACCTTTCCCTTTTTTTATTAAATACAGTGCTACCTCAGTTCACAAACCCAATTCTCTCCCTGATTCTGGTCACAAACCAAACTGGGCAAGAACTGAATCAAATTCCCCACAAGGCCAACACTGAACCTGACCAGTGAACTGGATTCAGTCTAGCCCAACTCAGTTTGCAACCAGAACCGTGGAAAGAATTGAGCTCGTGAACCGAGGTACCACTGTGTTTGTAAATCTTCGTGTGGTGCGGTACGGTAATCAAACACACATAGACAATGTGTAATTTCCAGGTCAGAGCACTAAGCGTTTCCATCTCTTCAAACCTTAATCATTTTTATGGTGTTGGGGATGTCTTACTCCTCTTTTCTGCCATTTTGAAATATATCATAAACACACCCACCCTGCGACCTGGTCCTGGAAGGGCACAGGCTTCCTCTCAGGTGTGGGAAGCACATTTGCCAAGGAGATGTGACTTCCGCCAGCTGGGACAGCCCCTGGGCCTTGCACTGCCAGAACTGGGCAGTGGTCCTGTCCTTCTTCATGGCGCCATCACACACCCTGCCCCAGGCCCAAGGCAGAGCTGGCCAGGTTCTCCTTGCTCTCTCCGTGGCAAAGCTTCACCTCCTCCCCGAGGTGGGATCTCCTTGGTGATGGCCTTCTTTTAAAAAAGCGATTATCAGTCCGTATTTGCAGTCCACATGTTTACCTTCCCCATGTGGATTGCTACATATGCATGACGTGCCTTAATTGTCTTATTACTCAGCCCTTCCCTTCCCTCTTCCCTCACTCCCTCCATCCCTTGATCTCCTCCCCATTTGCAGAAGATCTCTCTCCCTGTTTCCTATCATCTGTCCTTTATTTTGTTCTTTATATATACTTTGGGTTTCTCATATAAAAGAAACCAAGCAATATTTAAGCTTGCGTGTCTGATCTGTTTCAATGAACACTGTGTTCTCAAGGTGCATCCATCTTCCTACAAATGACTCAGTCCCAAGGTGGCACCTCACTCCTGCCTCCTTTATGGCACAGTAGTACTCCACTGTTTGTAAAAGCCATGTTTCCCTATCCATTCATGTGCTGATGGACATATGGCTGCAACCAGAACTGTGGAAGGATGTAGCTATTATGAGCTGTGCTGCTGTTCACATAGGACGTGTGGATCAGTGTACTATGACATCTTTTCCCCTTCAGGGTAGATCCCTACAGGGGGAATAGCTGGGTCCAGTGGAATCTCCACACTGATTTCCTCAGTAGTTTGCTGGTTGCCCTCTGAGGAAAAGGGTGTGGAAGAAAGAACAGAGCAGAACCGTGCTCCTCAGCTCTCCTGCTGCTGGGACACAAAACCCAACGGCTACCACCTAAAGGAGAAGCTAATGTGGCTCACGGTCTCAGGGGGCTTGGTCCATGGCAGTGTGGTGTGGGAGGATGGCCTGGTGGAGCAGGGCAGCGGGACTGTGCTCTGTTAACATGTTAGGCGTCTCTGAACTCAGTGAAGGTGACATATCAGGACTAGGTGTCTACTGGGGGTAAACCACAAAATGATCTTATTCTCTGTGGTCAGGATCAGAGGCCCCTCCCTATGGCCACCAGGCACTGAGCACCCTCCCCCCAGGGCAGGAGCCACCTTGTGATTGGGTAAGTAGATCCTCCAGGCCCACCAGAAGTCTGACTGCAACCTCACCAACACCCTGACCTGGAAGCACACAGTCCAGACTCCAAATTCCCACCCACAGGTACATTGCAACCATAAAAGCTGAATGTTTGGAATCAGTAAGATTGGGGCGATCTGTTACACAGCAATGGATGACTGACACAAAACCATTCAAGAGCCTTCCTGGTGGAGATGTGCTGAAGACGTAGTGTCACTCCACACTGGCATAGCATCTGGCCCTCAGGACTTCTGTGGCTCCCCTCGCCTCCCAGAGCCTGCGCTGTGTGGCTACTCCTCTTGACCATCCAGTGTGGGCCATTTCCTGTGCTGGTAAAACCCACTCTCTCCTTATGGGCAGAGCCTGGTTCTCCCTAGAGAGGCTGGGACCAGACCGTCGCTGCCTGCCCCACACACTGCCCTGCAGCCCCTGCCCCAGACAGCATTCTCCCCTGCCTGGCCACCTCTGCCTAGGGCCAGGGGGAAGGGTATGGACAAGGACCACTGCCCAATGCCAGCTGCTCAGGACCCAGGGGCTGTCCTGGGTAGTGGCAGTCACATCTCCTAGGCAAATGCCCTGTCATAGTTATTCCTAACGATTCCCCACATGCATCACACTGACTTACTCAGGCATTACCGCTGCTCACTTCCGTTACACTGTCTCAGAAGTGAAAGGATCACAAGCCCCCTGGGGGTAGCTACCGCATCTGCAGACAAGTGCAGGGTTCACTCGGTAGCAACTCCTCAGCACAGAAACTCAGGCCAGAGGCAGTACAATGTTCTTGTGTTCAAACTCCAGAATTCCAGGGTGGAGGCAGATCACACAGCAGGCAGGTGGCAGGCATCCCTGCTGATGGAGTGGGAGAAGAGGGAGGAGACGCTCTCCCAGAAAACATAATATTCTAGAGACACAAACATGAACGAATTCAGGGTGGAAAAGGTATAAATCAGTGAAGACTCTCCAGAGTGCTCAAGTTCACCTGAAAAGTAGCAAATTGTTATTAAGTTGGGAGCAGCTCCTTGTCAGCTAGGCAGTTAAAAATTTCCTCATGAACTCATTTGGCATCTGACATATTTTCTTTGGTGAAGTGGGCAAGTTTTTCAGCTTTTCTGTTTTTTGGATTTTTTTTTTTTTTTGCCTAACCCAACATAACCAGGATTTCATTGCTTTCTTCTAGCTGATTTAAAGTTTATATTTCACATTTAGCTATATGGTCCATTCTGAATCAATTTTTGTACAAGGTACAAGGGCTGGGTTCAAGTTCAGCATGGACAGTGACCACGCCGATGTAAAGATCAGTGCACCCATGCTATCACTTGCAGCAAGTTCCTTTCTCCCGTCTTCCTCATTTAGTCCCCCATTTTTGTGGGCTGTGGGCTGGGGGCCTCCTGCCTGGAGAGGGGAGGAAGGGCTAAGCCAGGCGTGGGGCGCTGGGAAGATGCTAGGGGTGGGACAAGAGCACGGCCTTGGGGGCCTGTGGAGACTTTGGAGAGTGACCAAAGCCCTGGGACCCACAGCCCAAGCAGGTGTACCCGGGGACACTGAGCACCAAGTGCAGAGGTCACTCGCACTTCTAGGTGCATGGGGCCAGATCTCAGAGCACAGGGTCCAGGGCAAGGCCGTCTGGGCCATTGCAGTGACCTGTCCCCTGCCTGGGAGGGCCTGAGGGGTGAGGGAGCGACAAACTCCCAGAGGGTGGCTTAGGGTCCCCGGTGTGCAGGAAGCCAGGTGCCCGAGGAAGGGGCTCGCGATCTCTCCCTTGTATGTCTCGGCGCTTTGGATCCTAAAGGCAGCCTGGAGCCGCTCCGCCAGTGCAGACCTCTGGCCACCCTCGCCGGCTGGGCGCTGGCCCGTGCGTCCCATTATTTCAGCACTGGGGTTTGAACCCAGGGCCTTCACACCGAGCTACATCCCCGGCCCTTTTCACTTTAGACCCAGGGTCTGGTGAAGTCCCTACAGTGCCAGGCTGGGCTCTCACTTGCCGCCTCCTGCCTCGGCCTCCGGAGTGCTGGGATCACAGGTGTGCCTGGTTAGCCCACCCCGACACAGGGCTCTGGTAACAGGATGCGGTCCGGAGGAGTCTCGCACCCGGGATCAGATTCTTTGGTCTTCTTGGCGCTGTCAGGGCTGGGTCCTCAGCTCAGGCCCCGGGCTGTTTTACTGAAGCCTCCCAGGACCTGGCAGGACTTGAGACCACGAGAGGGTAGGGGGCCACTAGGGATGGGCCTGGCCGGGGTTGTTGGGACCTGGGGCGGGGCCAAGGGTCCCAGGGGGGGCCACGTGGCTGAGGTCGGGGGCGGAGGCGAGTGGGCGGGGCTGCAGGCTGGTGGGCGGAGCGGAGGCGAGTGGGCGGGGCGAAGGCGAGGTGGAGGCGGGGGCGGGGCGCAGGGGTGGGCGGGGCTGCAGGCTGCTGAGGTCCGCCTGCAGGGAGGTCGCGGCAGGCACTCACAGGCTGACGCAGGCTCGGACTTGCCGGGCGCGGGTCCCTACGCCTCTCCGAGGTGAAAGCGCACCAGCGTGGGCGATCAGTTGCACGCCGAGCTCGAAGCAGACGGCGCAGGACGCGCGGCTCCGCGGGGTGAGCGCTCGGGCGGGGCGGGGGTCCTTCCTGCCTCGGCGGCCCAGCTGGAAGGTCCGGCACAGGGAGGACCCGGTGCGCGTGCGAGGTGGGCCCAGCCCCCCCAGTCTCCTCCCCACCCTCCCCGCAGCCCTCGTCCGGCCCCTGCAGCACCCCGGCGGCGCCGCGAGTCTTCTGCGAAGGGCGAGGGGCCCGGCCGTCCCTTCCGGAGAGACCTCAGGGCCCTGTCGTCCCTCCGACGGCACCGGCTGCCCGGCCTCGCGCGTCCCGGGGCCC